CATCCACACTCCCACCCTGTGCCTCGCCCACAACCACACCCTCAACCACTCTCAAGCCCGCACCCACACCCACACCCACACCCACACCCACACCCACACCCACACCCACACCCTCAATCTCAATAAAATCTATCTGAAATTAAAAATGAAAATTACCCAATAGATCGTAACGTTAACTACACTGTCGGCACTGGTAAGCGTACTATTTGCGACTGAAAATTAGGTTGAAATTCGTGTCCACGATTTGATCATTTCTGAAAATGACCGTTATTGCAAAAATTCTATTTCTAGAAGTTCAAGAAAATGTTTTAACTCGGGCTTCACTGCGATATGATGTTATGATTATGCAAGAAGTACAAGCAATTTTTGCTCTCATGGTAAAATCAAAGACGTATGTAGGTGAAGTTATAACCGAATTCGAGTATTTCCACCCCAGATTCGCTCAAAAACTTGTTCCAGGTGTCCTATTCTTATTCCAAGTACAACTCAACGAGCTCTATCCAACGGTATGCTCAGATTTACTACAGCCCAATGTATGATTTTTGGGACAGTAGATGGCGCTGTACAAAATTCGAAAATTATTATTTCGGGTTATGGAAAATCTGAGCATACCGTTGGATAGAGCTCATCACGTTGTACTTGGAACCAGAATAGAACACTTGGAACAAGTTTCTGGGCGAATTCGGGGTGAAACTACTCGAATCTGATGCCAGAATTCCAATAGGAAATGACGGTTTTTTGAGATTTTCGAGAGCATAGTTTGAGCTATAGAAAATCTGAGCATACCACTGGATACAGTTCGTTCAGTTGTACTTGGAACAAGTTCCTGTGCGAATCCAGGATGAACATACTCAAATCTGGTGATAACTTCACCAACATAAATCAAACGAATATGTCGTCAAAAAAAGAATAGACAAAAAGTTTCTGCAATAACGCTTAAGACATGGATATGACCATCTATCGACTTACCTTGTACAGAAATATTTGCAGTAGACTTTGAATCAGATCATCTCAAAAAGAATGACTGCATACGTTGAAAACGTCTAACACTATTTGTACGATTGCATAGTGTGTTCGTCTAATAAAGTAATGGTAATGACGTGGCTTCCAAACAAGCGAAAAGTGTACATGTAAACTTTGATTACATTGCACTTTTTCACAAGAATTTAATTAATACTGTGTATATCAACAATAATCAGAATAAAAATAGTCATTATTTTTTTCAACATCTCTGTGCAACGTAAATAAAATAAAGAACTTAACACAGCACAATATGTTCTATTGACGGAAACCGTACGATTTTTGCCTTTTTTTTTCAATTTTTTTTTACTTGAATCTGACAGAGAAATGAAGGCATAACAGTCGAATTCATGTGGGAGATTTGAGTTAGCGCACAGGGAGGATGCTGATTTCAAGTGACGTGTTGGTCAAGAAACTATATGATTTGAATATGATTGACTCTTAATACAATACGATAAGTTTTTTCATGAAATCAAAAACAAAATGGATAGGAAAACTACAATGTTGATAATCTTTATCAAGATACTATTATCGCTCTTGATGCGATGGTAATTCTTCATTTATAAAATCGATGGTCGTTGTTTGAGTTCTCTGTCTCAATGCGTCAGTACGATTTTTAACTACAAAAGTACGATTGAAACCATCTGTTACCTTCCCATCACCAAAAAACAAAATTTTCAGACACCGGGTGATTCAGACACGATGAGTCAATTTCTAATCTTCGCTATTATCCACACCTTATTCTAGCTAGTTCTTCATATTTTTTGAGTAAATGATGTGTTATTTAATTCTTCCCAAAATGCTGGGTTTTATTCAACGAATTTAATTTTCATGATTTTGAAAGAGACAGTACATGAATTAAAGAAATATATTCCAACTTTTTGGAACTATTTTCATATTGATTTCTACATACATAACTTTAGCTGTCCGTCTAAGGTCATTTTCATTGCGATCCGAGTGCAATCGATTCTGTAGACTGATTTGTTTCAGATGCCAGCAAGGTAAAAAGAGCGGATCCTGATGGATCTCAGTATCCACTACAATCCAACAAGATGCATAAGGATCCAAGCAAAGTAAGAAATAAAAAGAAAAATCGGCCTCAGAGTGTTCAACAAGGAAGAAGAAGCATACCACACGACACTAAGATTCTGGTGAATCCCAATATATATTAGTAAGTGCAAATAGATTTTATAATTTTCAGGATCCATCGAAATCCACTCTTACTTGACTTGTAAAGAAGCTTATTTTTAATTGCATATGTAATCATATAATATTTTTTTCTTGCTACTATTCAAGTTTTTTCGTGCTTTTATCTAGTGTTGTTTTGTCAGCAATATTGATTTTATCAGACTATTTTTTGTATAATATCACATATAGAGTAAAATAACACGTACATTTTCATACACATATACCCCCTTTTCTCCTCTGTTATACTGATAGTGGAACGAACAAACGAATGCAAATCAAAAAGAAAAACTTTCTTAATGTATCACCGTCTTGTTGATTCCTCTACCATTCAAGCAAGCAGAGATGTCGATTTTTCAACTAACTAGTTTTGTACAAAAAAGAAACTAACTGCTCAGCTCCTTTTCTATGTGACTTTTCACAAGAGATCAAGTCTTTAGTCAATTTTTGTGCAAAATTTCAACTTTTTTAGGTATTTTCGCTCCTTTTTTTGCTTCATATATCCTATGCAAATTATTCTCTAAAAAGTTTGAAATTTTGGTAAAAAAAAATTGTAAAAACGCAAGTCTTGTGACGACTACGGTAGAACTTCACATAGACAAAAAAGCTCAACAATTTGTTGCATTTTGTACCAAATCATTACAAAAACGGTATGTTTGTCTATCTGAGCAATAGAATAGTGAGCGTGTATTTGTATATATGAGAACATGAGTGCTTTCAGAACTTATGTATGATTTTGTGTCAAAAAATAGCATGATGAAGTCACGTCGTTGATGAAATGTTACCAAAATAAAAAGAAAATTTGAGAAAGAGTTAAGGTAACAGTAAGAGAAAAATATTATATTTGATATCCAATACACTATTTTAATAGTTTTTCCGGATTATTATCAAACTTAGTAGCTTTTACTGAACTCTGACAGCCTTCAAAACGTTCTAATAAGTTTCGTTGAAGATTTTTCGATTGCAGTATGTTCTGATAGTTTTTAGCAAACTGCAATAAATTTATTTTACAAATATATTAAATGATTTCTTGATCATAATCCATTTAAAGGCAACTGGACAGCTCAAAGTAGTGACGCGAATCAAGAATGAGATTGATGGTATTGAGAATAAATTTTAACATATAATTCATTTCAAAATTAACAGAAAAAAATAGGATGCGCTACTTATTATTTGTTGATGAAATGTTGCAAGAAATATATGAACAGATGAAATCGAGAATATAACTGCTTTTCAGTCAATCTATATTCTCGTTTGTCTTTGACACTTTTCCGATAAACTTTGTTCTATGGAAAGAAAAATTGGTAAATAAACTTTTCCGGTTAAAAGACAATCGTTTCCAGGCAAGCTTCCATTATTAACAGTAGTTTCGTATCGGTATTGATATTTTGAAAAATGTTAGTGTCAGTATTAGTATGCAGACAAAGCTTGATGTACTAGTGACATTTCTATCAACAGCAAAAGCATTCAATATATCTGTGAGATGACTGAATTCTAATCTATAGCAAAGAATATCATCTTATCTATCGTATGTGATTAACATTTTTCTGTTTGATTAAAAGAGAGATTACTATTAGTTTTGATTGAAACTGATTATTACGTAAGTGTGCAGATGGAATTAGTTTACTTCTTAAGATTGATGTTGATAAGATCGGTTATTCAGTGAACTCAACGTAAACATGCTACCTGTAGTATGTTACTAAACATCTAACGACTTTTAGACGATTTGATGTGCTCACCTTGTTGACTATCAAAGAATTCATTGAAACAATTGCAACAGAATCAATGGAAACAGTCATTATATCAGATATTTATACCTTCAACTCAGTTACATTACTTTTTTTTATGATTAAAAGTGGACCGTTGGATCAATTGGTGGGAAAATTGTTCCCGTTAATGAAGCAATGATTCACTCCACATAAAGGCAAACATATCAAACAGAAATAGAAAAACTATATAAATATACATCTATCACGTTTCATTTACCATGAAGAAATCCATCAGCCAAAAGAAGTAGAACGAAAGAATATAAACAGATATGTCCCAATCACTATTCGACACACCATTTTTCATATTTAACTTGTGTCTGGAAGGATAGAACTGGATCAATGATTTCTGCTAGAAATATTTCCATTTCTGCTGAAAAAATTCAGTTCCACTATAAGTTTTTCGTAGGATGAAAAAGTAATATGAGCAATATTTCGTCTAGTCTTTTTTGACTTCTGTTGATGAGGCTAAAAATAGATGAATGATTTCTTCTCGACGTGTGTTCAATTTGCCCTAGTGTGAATGGTCTAATATAAAAGTTAT